GCGAACAACTAGGGGGAAATCCTGTTCTTTTTATTTGTTCAAACTAAAGAACGAAGAAATTGAAGCATCAAAAGTACTCAAACTTGCAATTTATGTCTAACCGATTGCTTCGTACTAATACTGCATACACAAGCGTAGCTGGTGACCTTAATTGAATTTCTAGTGTGGTATATCCTTCAATTGCTGTTATCTCTGAATTCTCTTTCCTTTTCTTCTTTGTGTTCCACGATTGTATACACAAATTTTTCTCACGGCTTGTTTTAATTTGTTAAGGTTTTTTGAACTACCAGTGTTGATATTAGTATACTTTAGCTGGTCGCCGTGTTTACTCTACAAAAGATAGCAATGATCCTCTCAATGCGGAAATCGACGATGACATTTATATAGACACGAAGGAGTTGTGTAAAAGAATAGCATATGAGCTGAAACAACATTCCATTCCTCAAGCCATTTTTGCTGAACGAATTTTGTGCAGGTTGGAAATGTTTCTAACTTTTTCTTCCTTCTTACTCATTATTAGGAAGCGGAAGACGAATTTTTCCGACCTGTTTGCTCTGGGGTTTTTTTTTTCAAATTGAAGCCAATTTAGAAGTCAGGGAACATTATCGGATTTGCTGCGAAATCCCAAACCTTGGAACAAGTTGAAGTCTGGTCGTGAAACATTCCGTCGCATGTTCAATTGGGTACAACAGCCACTTGCAATGCGGCTAGGAATTTTGGATATGTGCAAACAAGGTTAGTGCTCAATGAACTTTATTTTTCAAGTGATATACTTTTATCCTTACTCCTTCCTTTTACGCGCATCATCTCGTCTTCTGAGTCATTGCGGTTTTTGTTGTTCAAGACCCAGCCTTTCTTTAGCTCTTACTCGTTATTATTATTCGCCTTATGGAAAATCATCTCAATATTTGTTTCGTTTTTATGGATTTTTGGCAAATCCCTACGAGATCCCATCTATTCATCCAGTCTGTATCTTTTTCTTTTTTATTATTTTTGTGTCGATCTATACCTTCCATTTATCTAGTAAACTCCAATTTATGTTTGTGTCTGATAGTGTTGCAGTTTGAAAATGGGTA